GTAACACAGATGGTGCCAAGCCCTGTGGCAAAGTCTGAGCTGCCTTCTGTGTTTGCAGAAAAGAAGTAGTCAATATATATTGGCTGGAATTTTTTCAGAACTTGAAAAGCATATGTCTACTGAATTCCAAAAGTTATTATGTATTAACATACCTTAGGTAGACTAGGAAGACAGCAAAAATTTAATTCATTTGAAACAAACAAAAGTAACATTATCCATAGTCAACAACAACAACAACAAAAAGGTCTTCTGTGACAGCCAGAAGAATCAGAGGAATTATTAATTGCTATACTAAGATTTTGGCTTTTAGGATGAAGAAAATCATAGACATGACTCAAATAAGCCCCTAGGAAGGATAAAACACTTCCAAACATCATCTCCTCAAAAAAAAAAAACAACCAAACCTCAGAATACTGGCATGCTGTGGTAAATACCTAGTTTCAGTCCTAGCACTATAGAAGAACCAAAACCAGAAAACAACTCAACCCCTACATAGTCCAGAAGATTCAAAGATAATGCAGTCTTTCAAATCAAATGTGAAAGTTGCTTAAAATAACAGTCAGTCACATTCATCTGCACCAGTTTGCTCTTACTAGAATATCCAGTTGGAGGACCCACACCCATTCACTCTCTCAATTTTTCTTTTGAAAAACAAAATGCTAAAGTATTAAAATTAAGATTTTAAACAACAATGTTACCACCTCATAAGAGCTATAGTGTTAGCAAGGCTACACAAATTTAAAACAACTCACAAACACTGAACCAGTGTGTTTAAGATTACCACAGATCAATTGATTGTATGTACTGAATACCACTCAAAAAGACAATGCCTCCATACTACACCGAAGGATACTCGTCTAACATACAAAATCTGAAATGTTTTTGATTCACATTCTAGGTCTTCTCTAGGATACTACGGTATGTCACTGAAACAACATTATTAGAAAGGGCTTTGTAAGATCGTACTGAGGCTTACAATACCTCAAAAACAAGAGGACATTCAGACTTTAACAAACAAGAAAATAAACAATACCATCACATACCGTAAGTTTGAGGGGACCATACTTTTTTTCCTGAGCAGCCAAAGCATTTTTAAAAGGAGTTGGTGTCCGTGGTGTTGAACCCAAAAGAGATCTTCTAATGGTGGGAGTTCTAAAACTACTCAAGCATAGAAAAGTGTTCATGCACGTATTTTAATATTTTACTCTATCAACAGTAATGTAATAAAATTAATCTAACAATTACTTTAAGAATACCTTAATTTACACAACAGATATCACCATCATTAATCTGAAAGTTTTAAGATCACCATAGTATTACCCCAGGTATTTTGAACATTAACTGGATTTTGTCCAGTATTTTAAAAAAAGGAAAAATTTTAACTGAGTCCAAGTCACCTTCTGTTAAGTTAAAAGCAGGAAGCCAGCTGGTTTGTACAAAAGTATTTAAGTGTTAGGGGTTTCAAAACTCATTCACACTATGCATACAGGTAGACTAATTTCTCAATGTTTTGAAAAACTTGTTTTTATCCGAGCAACACCATCAGATGTTTAATGTAATAATCCTACCCCACATTTTCCTTTTGATCCTTTGGTGTCATTTCCTTGTGTAGAGGAGTCGTAATAAGAACTCTCTGTCCACAGATCGGAGTCGATGTAAATGCAGGATTTTCAAGGTTAAATTGTTCATTTCCAGAGCAAGTGTTGAAAAACTAAGTGCAATAGAGGAAAAAAAAATAACCAACCTTAAAGGACAAAACTTCACTGTACTGAGCAATAAAAAAAAAAAAACCCACTTATATACCCGATGGGCTTTTACTGACAAATCCCAATAAACTATTCTTAATTTATACTCCAAGACATTTGCGATATTTATCGCTGAAACCTTGATTTCCTCCTTAAAATCCCTACTGCTTAATTAGGTCACAGAGACAATAGGTCTCTATCAACAATTATTTGCATGAGAAAGTGTGAGCTGAGACCTAAGTTGCTGCCACCGCCAGCCCCTCCCCATAGTTAGTCTTCAACACAGAGGAAATAGGCTAATAAACAATTTATTTTTAATATATCTACCCTCATGCAGATGTTTTAAGAACTTTTTGGACACATTTGTTTAGGCTACAATGTATGACTAGAGAAGAAAGTACTTGTGATTTATAATCCACCCCCTGCAGCCTTCATAGTTTAGCCATATTTAAAAAGAAGCTTACCTGTGATGGAGAAAATGGTAGTGTTTTCACTGGTGTGTGCTTTAGTGCAACACTGACGGCATCACTGACGGCATCACTACACAAGCCATCATTCAGTTCATTAACTGCTGATTGCCCAACACGCAATCTCTTTTTCTTTCTTAGGATAGCAGGTGGAGTGCTGAACTTAGTTAAGTGTGGGGTTGTTAGAAAAGCTGCTTCTTCCTCACCACTGAGACTACTGTGTTTTTTGTCATCAAGCACAACGCTGACATTATACTGGCACTCAGAAGCCCCTTCATTGTGTTGGACCCTCATTAGTTTTACTGGAGCTGGCTTGACAGGAGATTCAACAGTCTCTGAAAGCTCAAAACTGGTGACATCACTCCACACTACAGGATCCTATGAGGCAAGATGCAAAACACTCATATACTATCAGGCTTATCCAAGATTATTTCACAATACCCAAGCCAATCTAAAAGTGCTCTACCTCCAGAAGCCATATACTGAGTTATTCTTCCTGTATCTTTCACATAATCCTAAAACACTGAATATTTTAAAACACAATTCTTTTAAAACAGGCAATAAAACGAATCACTCAATAGAGGTGAAACTACAGACAAGTACAGAATAAGGTAATTTTAAGAGTATTTTACACATATTGTGTATATTGTGTAAGTTGATGTTCCTAAATAAACTTTTTTAGAATAAATGCAGACTTACAGATTCAATAAGCTCTAGTGTCTCTGCAAATTCTGGAATGGTTTGTAGAGATGATAACATTGTATTTGCTTCCACAGCCAAATACTTAGGTGGTGAATTCTGCTGAACAGATGTGCCTTGGGTCTCATCCATGCTGTAGAAATCACTTGTTTGTTCCCCAAGGGTATTTAGTGTATTAGACACACAATCTTCCATGACAAAACTTCCAGACCAACCAGGTAAGTCTCCAACTTGCTAAAAAGCATGACGAAACATGTTCATCTTATCCAACTTAGAAGCTGAGAAGAGTCAATTATGTGACCACAGGCAGGAAAAAAAAAGTAGTATGCAGCAAGACTAAGCATAATCATTAATTTTTGCTTTTTCAAACACTAATTATCTGTTTGCATTAATGCAGTTAGTCTTCTCCTTACATTAATATACTCAGCATTATCAAATTGTGTAAGATTTTTATCTTACCTCTCATTCATATCTTATACATGCTTATAACTTAGATAATTATGAGTTGTATTGGAAGCCATCTCTGAGGCAAGTTTCCCGTGTTCCTGAACATCACAATATTACGAAGTCATCTTCCGTACAGAACACAGGTACATTTTAAGATTAGAAACTGTTTCTAGAATGTGAAATATTTCTTGTTTGATCTGATTTTTTTTTTTTTTAATGCAGATTCTGCACTGATAGTTTACTTGACTTCTGAATGGTTATCTCATTTCAGTACACTGCTTAGCACCCAAGAAACAGATTTCAATTTTCAGTGGAAATCTAGAAGCAAAGCAGATTCCACTAGATAGGCAGAATGTTGCACTGTTTCAAGAGAATGCCAGGGATAGCTCCACCATAAAAAACTGGAAGTTCACCTGAAATCTAAATTAGTGATCTAAATGGTTGAGTTGTTTAGGTGTCTGATATTCACAGCCCTCTATTCCTCAGGAAATAAGTGACTGTTATCTGCAAGTTTCCCCCATTCCACTGAAGTACATATAAATTTTGTACAGTGCAAATTTATACAGTTTGTCATGTCCAAATATGGATATTAAGTATTGCAAGCACTCACACAGAAGTCTGACAAAAATACAATCTGCAAGACGTTTTGAAATCAAATAGGGAAAACCTATGCATTTTTCACCTTTCTCTGTTGAACAGATGATCAACATTGCTGAGCTATAAAACTGAATGGCAGTGATATCAACAAACGTGCTACCTCTTGAAGAGTATTAAAAACCTGGGCCTTGGGAAAAACTGCAAAATTGCAGGTCAGGTCGTATTTCTGCTGCTTTCAGAGTTTAGAAAACTGCACTAAAAATAATTTGCCTAATTTCTAATCCATAGACTTTGTTTTACAACCCAACAGCCATAGGTTTGATTTTAAAAGATCGGGTGAAAAACCACTACACAAAGCCGAACATCCATTACTAAATTGCTGAGGATTAATCTCAGTAAAGCATATTCAAATATTTACAGAAATTTAAAGTCCTTACAGAAGACACTCGTTTTCTTCTGATTTCATTCTCTGCTGACATAAGTAGCAATTCAAGTTCCTTTATTTTCTTTTCTTTATCAGGATCATCATCAACAAATGACTGCTGAAAAGAGAAAGAAGCCATTACTATTTTCTACCACTGCCACCCCTCCACAATAAAGATTCTACATTATAACACAGCTACATTTTTAACAGAAATCCACACGTAGCAGGAACAGAGCTGTTCAAGCTGTACCATATTTTGTAATACAGTAGTCACTCACAAGCTAAACAGCTCCAGCAATTACCAGGAGATGGATCTAAGTGGTATACAAGCTAATATTTTAACAGGTTTCTAATATGGCCTGTAAAAGCTCAGTACTCTATAGCACTTTTTAACCAAAAGTCACTCAGTTTTATCTTTAATAGAAGCAACAATGTTGGCACCTTGGTAGATGCGTTTGTGTTTTCATGTGCTTTCTAGAATTTTGAGTTATTTATCCTCACTAAGCATGCACAGAAGTATTTCAAATCAGCATTTGCTGACAGAGTGTCTACACAAGCAATCCTACCACTACTATCAGAAAATAAAATTAACTAATTAGTTTTGGTTGTTTGGTTTGGTTTTAACCTCCTTAAAACTTTATATTATTGCTATAAATATAGGTAAGTGATGGTATATGCCACGAGATTCAAAACTAGTTATACGCCCCAGTTTAGGGAGGGCTTCAAGGAGCAGAAAGTATCTTATACTTTTCTGTATAGGGCAATCCAGAGTACCAAAGGCTATATGAGGCTTTGTTATGATTTGTATTCTTATACTGAGATCAGGGAAGAAAATGCAACATGAAACAGGTGACCTGCACAGGGAAACAAAGTCAGGTATAGAGTTCTGCATAATGCCTCTAATACATCTAGCACAAACAAAATATGTATTATTCCCTGTGTCAAAATATTTTTTTACTGATTTCAAATTCACAAGAATTCTTCCAGGAAATAAATAAATTCAATTTTTTGTTTGTTTTAAAGTTTCTCAATACTTCAGCATTTAGAACCTTGCAAAAGAGCATCAACTGATTGACAGGTTTATCAGTCAGAAAAAACTAAAACCTGTTGAGAACAAAAAAGCACAGCTGTAAGGATAAGTCACGGTAAGTTACTTGAACTGAGTCTTTCAGATAAAGTTGTATTTATTACATATATAAAGTAGTAAAATCTTATCTTTAAATCTCACAGAATCTAGGTAATACTAACAGGTCATAATTTTAAGCTAAAGATTTAACTAGTAGACTATGTTTTAAGCCATACTTCTGTCAGAAATAAGCACAACCATTGTGTTTCTGGAATGTATAAAGACAGATCCTTTTTTCCTACCTAGAAATGCTAATTAAGCTATCAAGCCTACTCATAGAGGAATGCTTACATAAATTGAGTTAAATGATAAAGATTTAAAGATGTTTTGAAGTTACAAGTTGTGAAACTCTTCATTTTACAGCATAATACGCAGTACATTCTCTTAATTTACAATGCCCATTAACAATTTACCTGAACTAAGTTGGAAGAAGCTGAAGCATGTTCTAGACAGCTGCTTTCTGGTGAGGCATACTGGTATGCTGGAATCTAAAGAGACATAAATCAGTTTTACAAACTCTAAAGAAAAGGAGACTATAAAATTATCTCTAGCTTATTGTACATTAACCATTGATTATGGATTACAGATCCTAAATTACCGTAATATCACCAAAATACTCAACAGATCTTCATTCCTTGATTTGTTTCTCATTCCAAACACAGCAAGTTATTTGAAACTGGGAAATACTAATTATTCTGGATTTTGAACTTACATGTGTCTGAACAGGTATGTAAAATTGATTCTGAGTGTGCAAGTGTTCCACAGTCAGACAAGGTTGAGGCTGAAGTTCAGATGAAGATGAACTAGTTCTTTCAGACTTCATACCATCTTGTAAATACCCTTCCTGTTCCACCTTTCTTCGCATAGTTGAATTCCAGTGATTTTTAATCGAATTATCAGTCCTAAAAGGAAAGTGTACAACAGTGACTGGTTTCCATACCTCAAAGTTTAATATATGGCATAATTTACAGGGTTTTTATAGTAAATTAATCCAAAGCCAAAAATATAGAAAGCTCCAGCAGCTTGGACTGAAAGTTCTGTTATCAGTGGGGTTTTGGCATAATGACTAGAAAGCTACTTTTTTCAAAACTTCTTAATATTAAACTTCAAGCCTGCAGGAAATTAAAAGTTGCAAGAGAGAGTCTTGGTTCTGGCTATTATCATGGGTGAGAACCCTTTTTCTTGGATACTTGGAACAACCATGTGTTTTCTGTTACTGCATTGTTTACCTTCTGCTACAAATTTGCAGAACACGAAGCTAAGGCAGTCACCCTACTGTCCCACAGCACAATAAGGACTGTGGCTAGTGTTTGCCACTGGAAGACATCTCTTCCAAAAAAAAAAAAAAAGAAAAATGACAGCCTGCATTCCCAGCTCTGAGTTTTATGTGTTGCTTTGTGGAAGAACATCCCACTTGATCTTGTATGGGGAAAACAGGCATGGCAGAAGACCAGTACCCATTGTCACATCTCTTGGAAAGGAAATGCCTGTAGTTTGACAAGCAGACTGAAATAACTTTTAACATGAGACAAGCATTAAAGCAAGAGTAGAGTATGAATGCATTACAGTCTAAAACACTAGCAATATTACCAGCCTTAGAGAGAGGTAAACAGAAATAAAAATTGCTTTAAACCCCATTCTTCATTTAAGTTCAGCTCCAAGAAGTATTCCCCTTTTTCACCCCACTAGTGTCAGACTCTTTACAAATCTTCTAGGTCTAGGATCCAATCTTTAGCTGAGTCTCATCTTGAATTTATTTTCAACAAATAAGTTCATGAATAAGGAATGCCTCTGTCCTTACAAACTTGTCTTCCCTCTCTGAAATTCTGTTAAGATGTAAACCATTCCCTTCCCATTCCTTTAAAGGATTTCCTGTGATTCATGAATTGTGTACTTACAATGTCAAATTTTTAAACATACATCTCTAAGGACTCATTCTCCCAACATAACAAGTGCTGACATTCCTTAAACACACTAGACGGTCACCTCCTGAACACACAGACTGAATTCAGAGAGGGACAGCTCAACATTGCATTTCAATTAACAGTACAAGGTAAAAAAAAAAATTATTTCATTAAACTCTTTATACACTAAAATTTTTTGTTTCCACAAGCATATAAGCTGGCAATCACACTTGAAACAAAGATAAGGAGAACAATGCACACAATTAATTCTTAACTTAGAGACTACATGGTAACCAGGTAGGCTTTGCAATGCATGACTCCTAAGCCTGGGCTTTTGAAGGTTACTAAGATTGTCTTTTTCGGGTGTCCTATTTAACTAGAAGTGTCCTACCAAAAAAAAAAAAAAATCTTATCTTAAATCAAAAAGAAAGTCACTCCCAAATGTGTATTAATGAAGGCAGCTTGACAAGTCACAGGATGTTAAGGCATTCTTCTATTATTATTTGCAGTTACTCTTCAGCTCTACTACAGTCTTTACTAAGTGAACAGGAGGATTTTTGAAGGAATCTGCAGAGTGTTAGAGGTCTTTTTATTGGTTTTATGGTTTTTTAAAAATACATCATCAAATGCAAAACATTTTAAAAATCAGTATCTATCAAGATAGAGACGTTGCAACTTAAGAATGGAAAGAGTAGTGTGATGACTGCATTCCATATTCCAATATTTAACACAAACAGAGTTGAAAAGCACCTTCCAGGAAGAAGTTTTGCTATTTCAGCCCATCGGTTTCCCAAACGCTTGTGAGCTTCATAGATTATTCTGTCCTCCTCTTCTGTCCATGAAGACTTTTTTACCTCAGGATTGAGATGGTTATGCCATCTCTCTCTGCATTGCTTGCCTATTCTTCCTTTCAGGTGTTTCGCGATCAGAGACCAGCGCTTTGGACCATACTTCTGAACTAATTCAATCACCTGGAACACAGAGAAAAGCAT